AGATTAGTTGCATGATGCATTTAAGCTTTGGGACATAGTTTGCGTAATTTGTGCTATGAAAGTATAATTCATAAGCTAGTCTTGCTTTATATGTAATTGTCTCATAAGGGGTTGGTATTTGAGTTTATTTTACCGTGGTTATATAACGCTAGAAATGGTTGTAATTGTTATGTAAAAAGATTGTAACTTATTCACTTAGCTTGGTTTTTAGCAAGTGGCTTGTTGAGTGTATCCATTTTGCCTTGTTTTTCAGCTTGAAAATTTGCTCTAGTCTTTGTATCCACTTTCACCTTTGTCCCCTTTTCTGTTCACCTTGTATGCAGAGTGCTTTAGCCTCATAATTTATAATATTGTTACAAAGGGTAATTTTACAGGTTTCCAGGTTCCTTAAGGAGACCCAAGGATTTCTCATCTCCAATATGCGGATGACACTACGTTGTTTTGTGATGCTGACAGTATTCAAGTTAGTAAAATTGGGAGGTTCTTAACTTGTTGTGAAGTGATTATGGGCTTGAAGGTGAATTTCGTGAAGATGGCAATGATCGGTGTTGGATATAATGAAGTGGTGGTTAGGAACCTAGTGTAGATATTGGGTTGTAGGGTTGATGTTTTCCTTTTTTATCTATTTGGGCTTTACCTATTTCTGGTGGTGGGTTGACTCTTACTACGTGGGGATAAGGTTATACAAATAGTTCAGTTCAAGTTAGATCTTTGGAAACTAATGTCTTTATTGTATATGCCAAAGGCAGTGGCTAAGCGTATTGAGTTCATAATGAGGAACTTTCTTTGGGGTTTTTTTTGGTGAGGAGAGAAAGCATCATCTGATTAAGTGGGAGAAAGTCTGCACCCCAAAGAGAGATGGGGGGTTAGGCTTGAGAAGGTTATCACTCATGAATGATGCATTCTTGTGCAAATGGTGGTGGATGACCATTCAGTTTAAGAAGCAGACGTAGAGTTTTAACGGCCAAATATGACATGGATAGACATAGGATGTGGATATCTAAGGGTACTAGCAGGGAGAGCATATCCTTTCTTTCGAAGGATATTTATTCTTGCAAACAACTGGTGGATCGAAACATTAGATGGATCGTAGGGAAGGGGACATCGGTGCCTTTTTTGCACCATTAGTGGTTAGGCGAGGTACCATTAAAGCTAGCCTATCGTCAATTATTTGAGAAAGTTATGATGGCTAACGCTAGAATTTCAAATATGGTTGAGTATCGGAATGATAAGTTAGTTGGAACATTACTTTTCCTTACAATCGGATCGACAATAATCTTTATCTCCCTTTGCTAAATTTGTTGCAAGATATTGATAGGACTTATATCTCACGCCCTGTTGAGGACAAGTTGGTGTGGGAGATAGAGTGTGATGGCCAGTTTTCAGTTAAATCTGTTTACAATATATTAGTCCATGATAGAAATTAATGGTCCCTACCGGTGGTGAATCAAGTCTTGAAGTGGCCTATCCCACACAAAATGCAGTTGTTCATTTGGCTGGCAGCACAAGATAAGATCCTCACAATGGATAACCTCATTAAAAGAGGGAAGATAATTACGAATATTTGTCTGATGAGCAAAGAAGATGGAAAAACATGTCCTCATCTATTTATCCACAGCTCTTTTATATCTTGAATCTGGTGGTGGTGTTTTCACTTGTTGGGGATAAATATGGTCCTACCATAAAAGGGTTTAGGTATTTGTGCGCATTTGGATATATTAGGGTTAGCGGAAGATCTTATGGGGTGTTATCCTTTGGGAGGTGTGGTTGAAACGGAATTGAAGAACTCTTCAAGGGGAGGCGAGATGTTTTGACAGAGTGCTGATTAATATTAAACACTCGTTATGGTCGGGGTTGTCCATTACTAAAGAGGGATGGGGTTTATCTAAGGTTGATGTAGAAACTAATCTATCTTATTTTTTTAAGTTAAATATTGCTAGAAATCGACCGTGCTCTAGATGGACGCAACCGGACCAAAAGTGTTTTAAATTGAACTTTGATGATTGCTCTTTGGGTAACCCGGGGCAGGCTAGTTTTGGTAAGGTGCTACGGGATTGGAATGGTAACGTGATGGTTGCTTATGCTAGTCCTTGCGGGGTAACTTCGGCAAATCACACTGAATTTCTATCCTTTTACCATGGTTTAAAAACCCTAGCTGATAGGAATTTTAGATCAGGTTATATAGTTGAAGGGGATTCTACGAACGTGAATAAATGGTGCAAAAAAAAAGAGCGAATTGCGTGGAATCTCAAATCAATAGGACTACAAAGATCTCTGATGGATTCGTTGACGTTTTCTTTTGCCCATGTTTTTAGGGAGGTAATGAAGTGGCAGATCTTTTGGCTAAGGAGGGTGCTTCCTTGAGTTCTTTATCTATTTCCATTGATGTAAATTCTCTTCTGTAATATGTTCCAATCTTTGAATAATATTAGTGAATTTTGTCAACAAAAAAAAAAAACTCTGTATTTGAAAAACTATTTTTTTTTTCATTATAAAATTTAAAGCTTCAAAAATAGTGTAGATCGAACATATCTATGAACACTTAAAATTGATGGTCCAAAAATGTGATGTACCATGTTCAAAACTTGAAATCTAATTTTCGTCATGTTTACATATCTTTAAGTCAAGATGATCAATTTAAGGATTTTTCAAGATCGAAACAACTTTTTTTAGTGTGACCAGAGCAGTACCATGTTCCCCACACCAGGGTGGAAACGAAATGCAAGTTGACAACTGTGGCAGGCAGTGAGAGCGACCCCGGAGACATTTAAGACCATGCATTTTGCAGGTACCCAATCAAGTGGTTGGCAACGATATTTGGAGCAAACTACATCTTTGCAAAGGTGGTTCTCTTGTGTGGCGTACCTCCATCAAGGAGGGCTCTAAGATTGCTATTCCTAGTACTCCACGGGTTCTTGGTGAGTAAAATCTGACCCAGGAAACGAGATGGTAATTTTTACCAAAAAAAAAAGTTTCTCATAAGCTATTCTAACCGGTTGGAGACGGCGGTTGGCATGTAAAAGAGGAGCTTTGATTAGTGTGTACGGGAGGCAAGTCTGTTCTCAACCTTGTCCACCATGTGGCTCCATTAGTAGGACTTGGGTTTGCCAATACAGACGGGGAGACCTGGGTAGATGGAAGGTAATTGTGTTGTGGAGCAACCCAAGATATCAGAGAGAGAGAGAGAGAGAGGGGCAAGGGAATCCAGTTGTACATTGACTCATATCATCCTAAACTTGGCCATATCGACTCTAAAGCAAGGTTTTTGGCTGGAAGATAAATGTTCCCCAGAAAAAATAAGTTCTTCTTTTCTAGGAAGTGGACTTATTTGTTCTGAAAGATTTAAATAAGATACTGGGTAGTGTTTTTGATAACCTGTTGGAATGTTAAGAAAATTCTTGTTACCAATGTTTGATAGATTACTTGCTGAAATGTTGAAAAAAAAAAAAACATATATATATATTAGTAAGGATAATATTACAATATTATATTATACTGAAATATATTATCTAATTTTGTATAATATAAAATAATATATTATTTAAATTATTATTATTATATATATATACAAATAACATCGATAAAATAAATATGAGGGTCTTTGGCTAAAATATGTTTCCATATTTAAGTTCTTGCCTTGGGCATGGAACAAAAAAGTGCTTTTTAAGTGAAAAATAGGAAAGTTGAGGAATAAAAATATTCTAATAAGTTTTGGACACTGTATCACTTCTTGTGCGTCAATCGGTCCCAATTAGCATTTGGATGGAGCCAAGAGGAAGGAGATAGGAGGATCTCCAGTGCACAGAGATGAAACTGCCACAAGCGACGTCGATGGATTTTAAGGAATCTGGGCCCAAGCATGGAGAGAAATGTTGAATACTCTTTAAGGCAAATTATATGCTTGGAGTGAGCCCCAAGATCCTTGCTCAAGCAGAAAGGGAGAGAAAAGCTCCTTTGAAACTGGTTGGTGGCCCTTGGAGGGCCTTCTTAACGGCAGCGTCAGAAGAGAAGGAAATAGCACTCTTTCGACACTTTTGTGGCAACAAACCAATCCAGATAAGAAAGATCAATGCCCAAAAAAGGAAAAGAGACCATATAAGACAACTAGGAACAAATATATCAGAAAATTGTGTACTGCATTTGTTATATCCTCAGAGCATAATCAAACGTTACAAAGGGGATTCAACTTGGGGAAATAACAAAAAAAAAAAGAGGGGGGGTTGGGGCTCTTGGCATAACGGCTGCATCACAATGTCCAGCGTTTGAATCCCAGCTAACCTATCCAAGAACAAAAAAGTCGTTAGAAAAGAGGAGAAATCGAAAGAAATAAATTACCTTCTAAATATAAAATGAAGCAACAATGCAGAGGAGAATATACAGCTTGCATTGGGCATTCAAAATTCAAGCACATGGTGCCCCTTGGCTTCTTGGCACTTCATTCATGCCATCAAAAAAGAAAAAGAAAGGCCAAGAAATGATTATGATAAGGACCTTATTAATAATGTACATGCTTCTCATGGCACCCTTCTTTCTTTCATGACCACTCCCTCAAGAATTCCATCAGACCCAAAATTTCCTGAAAATTCTTGGGGTTCCACAGGCCCCGGCAACTGAAATGAGATAGTGAAGGCCCCAGAAGGGCAGAGATACTGAGTGTGCATGTCAAACACGCGTGAGAACTTGAATACCCGCCTGCCTCCAGTTGTCGTCACCCCTCTTATCATCACCCTCCCATCACATTCGACTTCACAGCTGAATTCCCCTGCCATCACAATCCTCACATTTCAATACAATTAAGTCACACATAACAAAGCACCCATTTTATTAACACTAATAGCCCGCACCAACTGCAATAAAACACCACAACATTTCTCTTTCTGTTCTATTCATTGTATTCACACACAAACAGACACGTAAGCAAGCATACGTGCGTGCACACACACACACACACTAATCTTTGATGAAGGAATGGAAACTACTTACTCTCATCCTTTCTTACACCAGGTAAGGATATGCGGAAGAGATAAGAATCCTCCGACACACCAATATCAACAAGCCCAATTAATGGCCCCGGTTGCCTTACCACAACAGTCCCAGTCAAAGAAATCCCACCATTGGCAGCGCCAGCAATTGCATCCCACTCCTCCCTTGAAGGATGCGAAGGAAGAAAGACTAGTGCAGGCCCAACTCTCTCCACTGGCCAAAATTTCTCTGTAGTTGGGGGAGTGTAAGGCAGTTGATGACCTCTTGATAGGAGTTTTGACATCGGTGTGATGCGGGTTTTTAGGTTTTCGCTCTCTTTCCTCTTCTTACGATTGTTACTACGAGAGGAAGGCCTTTTCAAAGGCAGCTTCCCATTTGCTTGCCACTCTTCCAATCCATCAATGCTCAAACCAGGGTTATACTCCCTCGCTGCCGCTCTCTCCAAAGAGACATTTTCAAGTCCAGTTAATTTCTTGAACCTACCAATGTCTTCTTGCTTCACATATGAAACATCAGGATCATGAATAAAAACAATATTTTCGACCACTTTTTGTTGTCCCCTATGCACAGCCTGCCTGTGCAAATGGAAAGGAAAAAAATCAGGAAACTGTCGTGGGTCCGCATTGGCATCATGCTCAGGAGAAGAGAGGCGACCAAGGAAGAATTTGTGTAGTAAAGCGAGCTTGACTTGGACAGATGGGTCTGAATTTCTCAGAATGTAAAAATAGATTCGCTCGATTTCAGCCACTTGTACGAATGAGCCACCCAAGTGATCAGATATGTACGGTGGTAGACCCTCAGCCAAACGTTGATTTGCTGATTTCCTCGGCTCCTCAGATTTGACATCAGGCCCAAAATAGTTACCCATGATGAACAGCAAGAGGAACCGCTGGTCATTGGTCGTTGCACTGCGTAATCTGGGTAGATTGGAACCAGAGGAGGTTTCAGGCGCTGGAGGAGGGCTTAGAGAAGCAGCCGCCTGGAACAAACTGTCCATGTTGCATTTGTTTGTATCCAAAGGTCACAGTCTACAGCACATTTAAAGATATGGTATTCAATCAGCTATTGAAGAAGTCTTGATAAGTTAGTGTTGCATGCATGCAGTAGGGCTACTCTAATTTAGCCATTATGACAGTTCATTCTTTTGAATGTTTATCACAGTATGCTTAACATGATTTTTGATACTAGAGAAGACAGCGTATTACAGGATTGCAAGAAGTAAAAGGAGAGGAGTTCTTTTCAGTTTTTAAAAAGGAAACAAAGTGTGTGAGTATTCTAACTAAAATAGAGCGCCAACATAAATAGGCCACCATGTTTTGCAAGCTATCTAATTCCACAGGTGAACAGATCAGTTTATAGTATGTCCATAGGGACTGTGCATCCTTCTGTATATGTAGTTCTGAGGACACGTGAGATTTTCTCTTTTTTTAGTACTTTTCTTTCATCTTTTATAGTAATTTAGTGCTTATGTAATTGTCTTTTGGAACTTATTATGAGCATAAATACATAAAACACAAAGCCTAGATCAACGTCTTGGCCCCCAACGTGGTCTTCTTTCCCTCCCTCCGTGCTACTCTCACTCGTGGTCATTGTTTGCCTGCTCTCCTAGAGATCTAGGCCCACAAACTTTACATGGTATTAGAGCATTGATCAATAGTCATCGTGGTATTAGAGCAGTGAACAACATCTGCAGCCATCCTTTTAAAAATCCCGGGTTCAAAGTTTGGAAGAATCCTTAGGGTTTGCACCATTTCACTGTGATCAAATAGCTGAACCTTTTTTCCCAAAATAATCGAGAGTTCGAGACTAATTGTAAGTGCTTAGATAATATACAAGGCTGCAGTATCAAACCCTCCATTTATTAGAAAACTGGGATTTCATAAACAGAGCGACTTGTTTCAGAAAGATAATATTTCTGGAGTGTACCAGCTGTACTGAGATATAGCCTTATGCTCTCAAGGGAGAAATCTCCATCAAAATATTAAAGAACAGAGAGGAACTCAGAATTTATGAGCTGTCATGAGTGCCCAACTGCCATTATGGAAAGGGAAAGGCAATTTCAGAGGAGACATACTTTCGAATTCCTAGATGGCCATAACAATAGATGGTTCATACACATGTATTGTATGCTGAGAATTACCACCGCATAATGTTGTTTATGCACTTCTTCAAAGAGAAGAAAAGCCCAAGGAAGAAATTAGGGTTTGTGTCAAAGGTCCCTAAGCCAGTCTTTGCTGCTTATTTTCAAGTAGCACGTAACAGGGGTATAGCCACTAGACCTAAATGTGAGTATTGCAATCAACTGGGTCACACAAAGGCTATGTGTTGGGCCTTACAGGGGAAGCCAGCAGCACCACCAACCAGCCTAGCCAAGCCTGCAGCCCACCAAGTGACAGACTCCTCAGTCAACTCCTCGAATGAAAAGATCAGTCAACTCATTGTGCTCCTTCAAGGAAAGGACCTAAACCGTCTAGAGGTGTAGTCATACATTGTGAGACAGGTATTCATCAGTCCCTCCTTATTGAATCTTCAAATTCTGTTATCGACTATGGAGCAACAGAGCATAACTACTAAGCTCCCTTTACTTACCCTTAATAAAGAAGACCTTGTTCATTCCAAGACAATTATCATTGCGAATGGCTCTCTTGCATCCTTTGAGGGTTTAGAATCATTAACCTCACTCCTACCCTGAGTCATCCATGAGTCCTCCATGTTCTTTCTTTTCCATGTAACTTACTATCTGTCAGCAACTTTACTAAAAATCCAAATGTAGGGTAACTTCTTCACCATCTCGTTGTGTCTTTCAGTTTTGAGGACTCGAAAGATGATTGGAGGAGGTTTATGAGGATAATAGCCTCTATATCTTTAGCTAAGCACCAACAGCTTTAGTATCAGATAATAAAAAGGGAGATCTTTCGCATGCTCATTTGGAACATCCCTCAAGCCCTTAGGAATCTTTTGCCTTCTATTTCTTTTTCAAACCATATTATTTCCTTTTGTAAGCCAACCCCAAATAGTTGGGATAAAGCTCGGATGATGATGATAATGATTATTTCCTTTTGTGAAGCATGTCAGCTTTCAAAACTTTATAGTTTACCTTCATCATCATCATATTCATTAATAAAAAAATGCCTAGTTCATATTTGTTCACTCATACTAACTCTAATGTTTGTGGTCCCGCACCTGTTAAACCTATCACCGGTGCAAAACATTTTATTCCCTTCATTAATGATTGTTCTTGTACTATGTGGGTCTATTGCATGAAAACCATCGCATAAGTGTTTGAAATTCTTGAGGTTTTTCATAAATTGATCATTTCAAAGTCAAAAAATTTTCTGAGTATGTAAACAAAAACATGACCCAATATTTGCAAGATCTGAGGCCCTACAACACCACAGCATAACGGTGTTCGTAAGACCTTTCGGTGACAGATGATGAGGAGAAGAACATCAATGATATCTAAAATGAAGGTGCAGAAGTAGTGTTGCTGTCCCTCAGCGAGGAGTTGTCGACCAGACCCAAAGGAAAGGGATCCGAATGCTCGAAATGTGTCATAATTTACCATGGAATCATAGAACAGTTTCTACCAGTGTATATGTCCATCTAGGTTAATGAAATCATCACCTTGCTTTAAAAAGAAAATCATATGACACCGAGATGGTTCTTGGCTTGGTACTGAAAGAAACCATGACGTTGCTTCCTATTCCAAGAGGGCAAGAAATTGGAGCCCAGCTTGATAGGTACGAGAAGGCCGACAATAAATGCTAGGGGGTAAAGGTCTAAAAAGAAAGAGAGAATTGAATGCAATTTTCTTCCATCCATTCCCACTCCCACTCCCATTCCATGAAATTATAATTTGAGTACAAGAGGAAAGGTTTTCAATTGGCTAATACGTTAATTTCAAGTTTAAGAATGGGCATGTCAATAGTTTCTGAGGCCATTCCCAACATAAATGAAACTAGAGAGGATAGTCATGCAGGAAAATGGAAAGAGAAATTCTTGAGCTCCTCAAGAAGAAGTTTATGAATTCTCAGATGGAACCCCACTTATAGAAGGGGGGGTTACTGCCTTGAGAGAGCATGCAGATTTCAAATGCTAAGTTGTCATAGCCAGGTGGAAGACCTGAGTCTTTAGAGGAGTTTCAACATGATAAAATCAATTTATTTTCAAGCAGAAAGATGAATTAGTTATCTTGCCTTAAGATTTACTTTAGATTGGTAGTGCCAAGGGAGTCGTACCACATGATGTTCTTTCTTTGAGGAATAAATATTTACGTCCCTGTTAATTGGGTCTCATTTGTGGGGCGATTTTGTGCCCTCTCTCCCTCCCTAGCATGGACTTGTTGAGCAAATACTCAAAAATGGAAAAAGACAGTTAACTATATATCCAAGAGAATTCTAAATACCCAAAAATGGAAAAAGACAGTAAACAATATATCCAAGAGAATTCTAAAGTGGGTGCATTACGCACACATGTAATATAAAAATTCTTAGCAAGAAATCCGTGGGAAGAAAATTAGATACCTGTCTCTGTAATTCTTGTTTCTTTCCAAGGAAAAAAGCATGAACAGAAAAAGATTCAAAAGGATTCACACAAAACGTGCAATTCTAACTATTCGAAAATAAAATAAAGATTTTTTGCCACACTTTGTACCAGGTCTAGATTAGATCACAGAATGAATTCCTGTACAAGTGGCGTGCTTCTATGCCTTCCCTAGCATTCAAATTTCAAGTTTAAACCATATGATCTCATACAAACATCACTAAGAGTCTTAAGAACCAAAAATCCATTATTAATTCCAACAACTACAAAGTAACTCATAGAACCATCCACTTCGAAACCCATAAACTGAAAGGAAGAATTACAAGCATTATTAATTCGTATTTTCTTGGCGAAATAATTTGTTGGTGTCGCTCTTATACTTAGGAGTTCATAAGGTCCCCAAGTCAAGATTATACCTAAGCATGAATTTCCAAAAAAAAAAAAAACCGGAGGGGTTTCCTAATTATAGTGGAGATCCAAGGTATATAGAACTGAAATACCACTAACGCAAGGAAGGACTGAAATACTCTATCAGTTGCTATATGAAAAGAAACTGATAAAATAATCAATAAATACCATTGAAGCAATAAATTAAAGTAACACAGGTTGAAGATCGAAATGAAAAGAAAAACGAAGAAGCACAAAAAAAAATCAAATTAACGAAGAAGGAATTAACATCAGTAAATCAGGAGGTAAGGAATAGATTTAAAGATTACAAGAAGGAAAGGGCAAGGCAGAGAGTTGCAGCGGTGCTATATCCGCTTTCTGGACCTTGTGCTTCTCATTCTAGTTTGTCACGGTGCTCAGAAGGCAGAGAGAGCGAAGTGAGGTTAAAAAGATGTTTGAATGATGTTTTTAGGGGAGAGAGACGACGGGAGGCTCATCCTGTGTCTCCAGGACCACATTTGTATAATCCCGCGTGAGCATTCTATACTAGCTTTATTTCTAAGGAGACCGTGGCCCATAAACTTCTAGGGCCCGGCCTCATATGACCGGGGGTATGGCGTTTACCTTGAAGTTAAAGCATGTGAGCTTAATGGGTTGGGGCCCTGGCTTATGGAGGCCGGGCGGCCTTTATTAAATGAAATTTCAATTTTCAGTGTGGTAGCGGGTTTTCGGCCCCTTTAATGGATTTGGCACTTTGATCTGCCCCATTTGGACGCCTACTAAAGACATGGGGTATTGTTGGAAAAATAATAATTTTAAGGAATTATGTGAGGAAATATATATAAAGAGACCATTTTTCTTTGATGCAAGGAGGTCACAATCATTATTGATAGATATATATGAAGTTAAGTGGTTGAGGATGTTTATTGATTGAGAAAAGAGCCCAAAATAAAATTTCTCAAACTTTGTGATATATTTCAATCATTTGGATTTCACATTCAATAGCTAAAAATAATTATGTCACGACCCCGTTCCCTGTCGTTCCCATCGGACCCACAAAGGGCTAAGCCCAAGCCCGCCAAAAGACGGTAGGGCGTGGGACCACGACCACAGGTTGAGAGTGCCACTTTGGTTGGAATGCGCTCAATACCTTGAAAAATAAGGAATTTCCAGTATCAAGCAAGCCACAAAAAGAAACAAAAAACGAAACACAATATAGATAATCATAATCTACTAGAAAAACAAGTCCCAAAATATATATAATAGTCCAAAATAATACATATAGGTCCAAGGCACATAAGGGCCAACATCAAGACAGTACCAAATCAAAATGGATTGTATGGCCAAACAGCCAATCAAAATATACACCGCCAAAATGGAGCTTCAACAGAAGGGGGGTACGGAACCCCAAATACGACCACCATGACATGCCACTCCAAACACAGCTGGCTATCACTCTACACAAAGGAAAAATTAACAGAATGAGCTGTGAAGCCCATTAAATAAGATCTAGGTGCCATGCTTTAATGCTTACAAATATTTTATCATGACAATAATCAGTGTTTTATACAAGTGTTACAAAACATGGAATCATGTGTCCAATTCACATTTAAACAAATGTATCATGCATGATTTATTTTATGGTAAAGTAATAATTAATCAGATAAATCAGACATGATTGTAATAAGAAGCCAATCAAATCATTTAGGCATGAGCATCATAACGGATCAAAACATTTATGTATGCATGTAACAAACATAATCAATATCAAGAGATACCAATTAACTTCTGAAGCAGAAGCCTTACTCATCGGGCCAATCAAATCCTGACGTGTAGAGCCTTTACCATCACAACCATAAGAGAACCACCACCAACGAGTCAATCCGTTGCGTGGTGCCTCACACGCGCACATAAACCCAGCGCGCTTTGGGGCTTTTGACAGGTACTGGCCTTGCAAGACACGGTCCTCTCATGTGCCATTTTGGTGAGAGAGCGTTGCACTACCAAATGGGTCCCAATGAGTAGTGCCTCACATAAGTTTTGGGGAAGAGACCACCCAAACACACACACTCCTAACTCTCATCCTATCATATAGAGCAGGGAAAATCATGGTTGTCGATACAAATATCTCATCAGATCATAACAGAAGTATATATTCATGCACACATATCTTATCAGAAGCATGTTGCTATGCATAGACCATATAACAGACGTATGTCTTCATGCACACATATTTTATCAGAAGCATGTCATACATATAATCACAAGAAATATCAACATGTCCAGAGCATGCTATTCATTTAATCACAAGAAACATCAACATGTTCCTAGCATGCTATACATATAATCATAAGAGACATCATTATGTCATATTGACATGCTTATCAATTCAAGAGACATTATCATGACAATAGCAAGCTACATATCAATATAATAGACATTATTATGTCATTTTATTATTCTTATCAATTCAAGAGATGTTATCATGTCAGATTACAACCCCCTTAGACCAATAATAACTGGTCTCATATTATACATTTCCTTTATCAAAACACATCTCATATTTAAACTATTTAATATTGTACTTTTTTCTACTACTCCAACTCAAAATAATATATATTTTGATGGGCATTTTGAAATTAAATCTAGACATATGAGTAAAAATGTCAAATTATTGATATCTTAAGTTTATTTTGATACATTTTCTTTAGTTTTTTATCTAGAGTATATTATTTTATCTAGGATTAATATAATCTGAATAATATTATTTTGTTAATTGTTTGGTACATACCTTGTATTATATATAACATTTTTTTATCATTTACCTTTTTGGTGATTTTTCATCTTTTTTAGCTTTTTATAACTAAAAACGTATGATTTCCACCAAATGCAAAAGTTCACATAGAGCCTGGCTCTAAACAATCAAATTAGAAGCTACCTCAAAACTTTCACTAAAAGAAATTGTTTTGATGCCAAAATATCATTAAATTGATCATCTTGACATCTATAAAAATTGCACTCTTACTTTGAATAAAAAAATAATAATAAAGTTATATCTAAAACTTTCTATAAGTTCATATCATATTACTTTATAACGGATGCTGCCAAACAATATATGATTCACTATCGCAATTAATTTTGTTGAATGATACGGAGCATATCCAAATATATGTGTAGTCTTCTAATCCTATTAAGCATAGGCAATAAGTTAGCGATGGTATCATACACACACATTAATTATAGGATGTATCTATCGAAAACTTATTTATCTTTAGAACAAAGAGATCATAATTAATCTTGATCATTAAGAATACATATGATGGTTGGAATTTGGGAATGTAAAAGAAAACATCATGAACTTTATAACACACCTGAGCTATTGAATTTTACATTGAGTCTCAAGTAATGCCAATACTGACCACGTACCAAACATAAATGGTGTTGTAATAAACAATCTCACATGCATACGACATGTCCCAATAAGCAAATCATTGCGATTAAAATCAGACGATTGTAGGTTTCCAAGTACATAAGAAATTGTCCATGTGAAAAAACCATATAAAGCTTCCCCAACGCCCAAAAAAAAGCAGTAAATAGAGAGTATCACATGGATTTGATGCAGCATCATCACTATATCATTTAATATCCAAATAGTGAAAGAACATTCCATTCCTATGGAAAGGTGTCCTTTTGAGCACTAATTCACTCAGCTTTTTTGTTATGATTGCCTAATTTTAATTATAGAGTGAAAAAAAAAAGGAAAATAATGTTACATATCAATTAAAATATGATAAACCAAATTCACTACATAATAGTCAACTGACTTCCAATCATCTAATCTTAACTGACCAACTTGATGCTCTTAAAAGTATGTGTGTGAAGGTACAGAGACTCTTTATCCATGTATCATGCTTACCAACCGAGAACTATAAAAAGTCTCATAATTAATTAATACATTTGGAATAATGTCGTTATACTTTAAAATAGTGGTCCTAGTATTTGGTGTGCCAATCACAAATCTCAATTTACATATATACAGCGTTTTTTTGGTTAGGGAAAGGTTTCTATGCTTCCCGTACAGTATAGAAGTTCTATCTTCTTCCTACTATCCAGCCATCCATTTTTTATCAAGAGAGTCACT